GCAAACAAGCATTTCGTAGGCTGCTGTAGTAGAGCCATAAAAAGTTGCAATAAAATAAAAAAAGAAATCCGATCATCACGTTTTTACTAATGCAGCAATAAAAAAAAAGGTTAAAAAATTTATGCATGCGTGAAAACTCGTAAAGAGGTGCAAGCAGTAGGGTGAACCATATTTCTGTTGCGATAAAATTATTGCCAACAGAAAGGAAATGGTTACAATTTTGGGCGAAACTCTTTAAAAAATTTGGAAAATGCATACGATTTTTTATGTTAATTGTTCTCTTAACCAAATATTGGTTATTTGTTTTTACGAATTTTTTTGACTTTAGGGATGAAGAATACATAGTAAATTTGTACCAATTAAAGGTCGATGATTATGAAACTGAGGTAAGAATTCAAATTTTATCTCCGCAATTTATACATAGTTGGCTTTTAGATATTATAAAAAGTTGAATTTTGATTTTGAATTCGCATTCGATGATCCAAAATTAATTGCAGTCGCTGTTCTATAAAAATTTAATGAAATTGAGAAAATACTAATTTTGTGCGCAAAACAATATTTTCTACAAAAAAGAAGATCAACCCTAGCGTCACCGCAAGCAAATGTTTTTAATTTTAAGATTTAATAAAACTGGTCAGCCCTATTGATTTTAAACTATTATAACACTTTGTCAAATTGATTCGTTGATTTATTGCTTCACAGAAGACAACTCAGTTACGCTTTGTCTCAATCGAAGCATTAAAAATTGAATTCGAAACGAAAGATGACTTATTTGAAATATGTATTACACAGGGCAACACTGATTTTGGTGCTGCAATGTTTAAAGCTGGTTTTGATAGACATATTTGTGCTGCTTACGAATCCGTAAGGTAATCAGGTCCAGATTTTGAGAAAAACCATGGTCAAAGTATCAAAAAATCATGTTTTTTCCAACATTAGCGAAGCCCTAGCAAAGAAAGAAAAGGTGATAGAACCTTCCGCCTAGGCATAAATTAAAGCTAGAGCTCATGACTACTAAATACGAACTTGTATACATTCATGAACATACAATGGTTGGAATCGCTAATCTCTTTCCTTCTAACGAAGTTCTGCCCAGGGAAAAACATTTTTTTTTCGAAAGTTCATAATTTTTCGCATTTTGTAGGCTTGTTTCTTGTAAGGGCTCTTGTTTCATTTAAAGTTAATATTGGGACTATATATAAAAAAGGAAAAATAAAAAATTACAGAATTTTGAAATTTAAAACATCGTAAAAGCATAAACTAAAAAAAAAATGTTGGCTAAATTTTTTTATACAATACCCTTAATTGATCTTAAAAGATCCTGAAATTTTTAAGGCGTGATTTCGTTTAAGACTTTTGAGCTTTAAAGAAACATATTTTTTTAACTCGAAATTAAAAATAAATTATTTAACCTAACGTTATTTAGTGTTTGCAAAAAAATTGCTTCTAAATTAGAAACTCATATCTTTAAAAAAATATCTTTAAAAACCAAAAAAAAACACCTTAGAAATGTTAGTATCTGATGAGATCAGTAGCCCGTTTCTGTAACTTTTCTCTACCGATTATTTCTCTACTGGTAGAGAAAATACGTCACTCTCACCTACTAATTAGCAGTAGAGAACAGGGCGGCGAATTCATATCTCAATTCGCCTTGGTAGATTATTGTTACAGAAACGAGCTACAGGGCTGAAGGGTGGGGCAAAAATTTTTATAAGCTTTTGCTTTTACGATTTTTAATTTCAAAATCTGTATTTTTATTTTTCGAATTTTTTAATACACATTTTCTTTATAGCTCCAGATTTTACCATTTGAGATGTGTATTCAAAAAATAAACTTTCGAAAACCCTAAAAATTGTGAAATTTAAAATTTCGCAGAACTTCGTAATATGGTGAACGAAAGGCTCTGACCAAAATGCGGCCGAATCAGAAATGGTCGATTCAGCCAATGATTTAACATGGATTGATACACGTTTAGTGCTTATCATAACTTGACGACACTCACATATTGGCCAGATTTGACAATTTATCTTAATGTTTTTTAATTTTAATTATTTGTTTATAAAAATATAGAATATTCTTTAACAAAACCCATATTAGCCCTGGTTTCAACATTAAAAAAAAAAATCAACAAACAATCGTCAAAATTGCGAGCTTTTTAATTCGATTTTTTAGAACTATGTATTTGTATGCAGTTTTGTAGTCCATTGAATTTTAAAGTGCAAGTTTATAGTATTTAGCTCCGACTTATTGTTGATTTTTGGGAATTTTTTGTTGTTGAAGGTGTTGTTCATTTTCTCCATATAAAAAAAAAATTAAACTGACATCATCAAAAAAAAAATTCCAAAAATCAATGGTAAGTCCTAGCTACTTTAAATTTGCACTTTATTGTGCTAAAATTGTATGGGCTACTAAACTGCATGCTGAAAGTATTTCTAAAAAACTTAATAAAAAGGCTCGAAATTTTTATGAAAGTTTGTTAATTTTTTCAAATGTTGCACAAAGATTGCAACTTGGTTTTATATGCTTTTCTTAAAGAATATAAGTAGGTACTAAATTTTTATAAACAGATAATTTAAATTAAAAAATATTATAAGTGTTTTGAATTTTTGGTTATTGTATCTGCTTATTTTTTCAATTGCTTGTTATTGTATGTTTTGCTTCTGGCTAAAACCTCAATCTACCCCAATAATTTCTTACTTCTCGAATTATTGTTTTTTTTTTTGTTTTTTGTTTTATTTGTCGTCGCGTTTTAGTTACCTTTGTTCGACAACTGGACGTACATCAAACGGCAGACTGTTTGTCGTACAGTTGGTGCAACAAACAGAGCACAAAAGTCTACAGACATTAGCAAACTATGTAAACATGTATGTATGTACACATGTATGTATGTACGAATGTACAAAAATGTAGGTTCAATCCTCTGAAGTGGTTGTCAATGATCGGTGTGAGCTGGATTTGAGTCAACGCTTCCACTTTCCAGTGTTTAGGTACAAATTCACATGGAAATACATACATACATACATATAGTACATAATACATACAACTTTGAACTCACTGACAACAAGAAAGAGCTCTAAAGAAACGCGACGACCTAAGCGTGATATCGGCCAAACTACCACACCACTACCCTTTAAATGTCCGTCCATTTGCTGTGTATTTTTTTTTTATTTTGTTTTTTTAGTTGCTATTTGTTGGCGCGTTTAAACTATAGCTTCTTTTATATCGACTACAAATGATTGTTTGTTTGTTTGTATGCCTCACTTTATTAATTTGTTGTTGCTTTTGGTGGGTGACTGAGCCGTGTCGTTGTTGTTGTTGTTGTTGTTGTTGTTGGGGATTTGTTCTGTCACGTCAAGACAATTTGGTTGCCACAGCAAACCGCACCGCATAGTCAGTCAGTCGTCAATCAAGCATTCAGTGAGCCAAATAGTCAGTCAACCAGCCAAGTAAGCAGCAAAGCGGCCGGTTAGTCGTCTATTTGCTTCACTCGTCCATGCTTTTACATACATACATACATATATAGTTATGTACATTCTTTTGAGTCTTTTTCCACTTATTTTGTCTTTCTATTTCATGATATTTATTTTTATTGATTTATTGTATTTTGCCGCCTACGTGATTGTGTCTATGTCCGGTTATGTTTCTCGAAAACTATCCGTTCATCACTTACCTGAGGTATTTACATATACATACATATGTTGTTAATACTCTGTGCAATAAGTTCCAAAATAGGTAAACGAGATGCGCTGGAATTTCACTGATTTAAGTACTGAGATTAGGTTTGGTGTTTTACTTCAAAGATATATTGATAACTCGTAAAAGTTTAAAACCTATGCAGTTATGGAGCAGATTTTAAGGTACATATAATCTATAATCCAATCTATTTTGCTTGGTTAATACTTTCACTAGTATCCCTGGTGATGCATGATTCAAATAGTTTTCAGATATCAGTTTCGATCTTCTTTAGATCTGAATGATTTGACACCCTAACATTCTAAGATATCAAGCAGGCGAATGCGGTTGATACTAGCCTTGTTGCAATTCCATTCATTCCTAGCACCACGGCTCTTCAATCTCAATATCACATCCAACTTTGGTCCAACGGTGTATGCTCTTTGAGACTTGATTAAGATGCTTGCCTAGGCCGAATCCCATTTTGGAATGACTAAATATCCATTAGTTCCGAAGCATTGCACGTTATGGAGAAATACCACTTCTCTTCTATAACATTTCTGTGTGGGCTATCGAAAAAAGTTGGTCTATGGTAATTACTCTCCTTGGTGTTGAAGGGCTGGTATAACGCAAAAACCTATTGGCCACGATGTCTTCTCGCAGCCAAGTGGTCTCTTAAGTTGACACGGTTTTCTCGGTAAGGTACCGACTTGGTGGCTGTACGTAAGCACGCGATCCTAAGCAGACTAAAGGGTACAGAATTGAGTTCCAGCTGTACCTTTCGAACCAGCAGTGATTATTCAGCTGGGCAACGAATAGTTATCCATCAGTGGATGGAGGGTGATACGAGTTGGCGAAGACAAGGCGAGCAGCCGTATGTGGGATTCGTCCATTGACGGTGTTGACGTCCCATAACTTTCGGATTGTTTTGGAGTTGATGAAGCCGCACTTTGATCACAGTAAATTACAGATCGATGGTTGTAGGGAGATATTAAAAGACACTGTAGTCGTCAGGCAGGGAATATGACCGTCCGATCCACGTGTCTTCGTATAGAGGCCGGCTTCAGCTAGTTTTCGATCTTTTAGCCGTCGCAAGACGGAAAGTGATTTTGCCCCCACTGTGCGTCGATAGGTTAACGTTCCATTCCCCAGTTGGAAATTACTTTCGTATGAATATATTTCTACAGAGGATTTAACCAGATCAGAGCTCCACCACTATCCGAACTATATATACAGAAATCTTTCTCAAAACCTTCAAAACTCACTTCTAAGGTGGTGCACAGTGGCTCAGTTTCGTCGCTCACATTAGCTAAATACAAATACAAGTCTTTATTAATTTTTTTATTATTTACATTTTAAATAAAAGCAAGAAAATTCTCATTTAAAGCAACCGCGTTCATAACGAGTTTCTGCACATTCTTTCTTTCTTTCTATGATGCGTGGTCAATTTTTCTTAACTCAAAACCGACACTTTTTGAACAGACTATGCATACAAATGTTGTATGGCTGTGTGCTCTTCTGCCATCAATTTATGTACATACTTATTTGCCCTCGCTTCGGCAGGTATCCATCAACTTTTCAATAGCTACATAGCAGGAACTCCTCACTTGCAATGATTCGTTCGACACCATGGAGGGTTCTGGAACAAAGTAAATAAAATAGAACAAGAAAGTAGTAAGTAAATAAGTAAGTAGACATCTATGAAGCAAAAAATTAAGGAAATTGTGGGGGTTCACGGCATTCAAAGGTATCAACGTGAATCTATAAACGCGCTTGCTTGTCAACAACCTAACAGGTATGAGTATAGATAGAGTAGCTTCACAATTCAACCATAGATTTATCGCCACATTTTTGTCGGTCTATTTAACTGGACACATTTTTATATAGATGTATATGGGCCATTCCATACCAAAATGGGCGGGGTTCACACTTCATGTGCTTGATTTGTTTACAATTTTTAGGGTTGGTAGGCAAACATAAATAATAAAGAAATATCAAATTTGAGTTTGATAAATACATTCTCAAAAACTTTACAGCACAAAAACAAAAACAAATCGATTTAATAGTTTCCCAAATATCTCGAGAACGGGGCGAGGTACAAATTTGAAAAAAATAATCACAGACACACACATCAAAATTCTCTATGAAAAGGACTATTTAAAAAATTTTTTTTTTCTTGAAAAATTTTTCACACAAATTTTTTGATAAAAAATTAATTTTTGAAAATATGCCATCTCTAAAAAAATAGAAAAACAATGGTAGCTCTGAGTATTGCGCAGTATTTAAGTATAATAATTTGAGTTATGAATTTTTTTTTACACCGAAGATGAGTAAAATGAGCACATTACAAATTTAAAAATTTTTAATTTTTTTTTTTAGATTTGCTTTGAAAACGGTTTTGCGCATTTTCTTCCATAAGAAAAAATGCAAAAAGATGCCAGCATAAAAAATATTAAAAACCAACGCAATTTTGCAGTACCTTAATACTTGCACTTTCTTAAACTAAAATTTAATGGGGGCTACAAAACTGCAAACTTAAAAAATTAAAAAAAAAATAATTAAAAAAATTTGTAAATTTGTAATATACTCATTTTGCTCAACTTCGGAGTAAAAAAATTCATAACTCAAATTATTGTAGAGTGCGCTTTATAATACTACATTTAAATTATATTGCGCAATACTCAGAGCTACCATTGTGATGTTTTTAAATATATTTTTTTGATGGCATATTTTCAAAAACTTACTTTTTTTTGTAAAAAAATTTTTATGTGAAAGATTTTTCAAGAAAATAAATTTAAAAAATAGTTATTTTCATAGAGAATTTCGACGTGTGTATGTATGATTTTTTTCAAATTTTTTCCTCGCCCCTCAAATACATGAACTGTGAACGCCGTCCGTTTTGGTATGGAACGCCACTATACATATCTGGGTATGTGTGTGTATAAACGCACTATGCGCGCCAGGCCGTTCGATATCTTTAAGTTAAACTTTTGTTTTAGTCACAGCACGCATAAATACATACAGTCATGTGAAAAATAGTACAAGGGACACCTCATTTTGACCAGCTTTGGCTGTTTTTCTTTTGTTTGTTTATTATTTATTATTATTTTTTGTTTATAAAAATACAGCTCATTATCTAACAAAAACCATATAAGTCCAAATTTCAAACGTTGTAGAAAAATTAGAAAGACTTTCACAAACAACTTTTTATTGAGAATTTTTGGAATTTTTGCAGCTCATGATCTATCAAAAATCATATAAGTCCAAATTTCAAAAGTTGTAGGAAAATTAGAAAAATTAAAAAAAAAATACAACAACAGCAAACTTTTTATTAGGAACTTTTACAGAAACTATCAGTATGCAATTTTATAGCCCATTCAATTCAAGTTTAAGAAAGTGCAAGTTTCAAATGGCTAAGAACTTTTATTGCTGACGGTATGGAAGAATATAACAACACGATCCGCAAAAAAAAAAATATCAAAAATCAAGGCGAATTCTTATCCTCTTGAAACTGGCCCCAATTCCTGGCCAAAATTCCTAATGAAAATTTTTGTTGCTTTGAATTTTGTTGATTTTTTTCAAATTTTGAAATTTGCACTTATACGGTTTTCATTAGATAATGAGCGGCATTTTTATAAAAAAAAAATAATAATAAATATTAAACAAACAAACAAAAAATAGCCAAGACTGGTCAAAATGCCGTGTTCCACTTATTTTTCACAACACTGTATGTATGAATGTAGTAGGTACATATCTTCTGATGTAGGTTTGTATGAATTGAAGGCTTTCTTTTCATTCGTAGGAGTCGTTGATCTCCAAGTTCTTGATCGTTTCTTTTTAATGTTTTTCTTTTTTGTAACCGTTATACTTCTTGTCAACAATTTATTTGATTTAATTTTTTTTTCATTTTGGAGCGCTTTTAATTTTACTTACATATATATATTCACATTCTTATGCACATATTTTCCCATCATTTAACTAAGCACTGAGGCAACTCAAAGTGGACTGGTTAATCGTCAAAGGGCCAAACCAATGATGCATTGAATCACATGCAAGTCTGTTGACCAGTTATGTACACTTGTGACCATGCAAATATTACCACGACTTAAAAAAAAAATTGTATACATTTTTTCTTGTAAATATAGTTCACATTGTAATATATACTTGTAAATGAATGTTTCAAACTTTGTACACCATTTGGAAAAATTCAACAAACTTTCATCAAAATTTCAAACTTTTCAATAAAAGTTTTTAAGAAAATTTTGGGTATGCTCTTTAATAAATTGCTCGTTTAAATTTAGTGTAATAATGCGCAATTTTGAAGTGATCCGAAATTCTCAGTGATTCTTGACGCATAAAAAAATGCCCAACATCGTATGAAAAAAACAAAAATCAACAAGAAATTTGAGCTAGTACAAACTTACACTTTATTGTACTAAAATTATATGAGCTATTAAGTAAACTTCATATCTGAAATTTTTCTAAAAATGTTGATTACAAATTTTCAAATTTTGATGAAAATTGTATGAATTTTTCGAAATTTTGTAAAAATTTTTATACATATATTTGCATAGTTTTTGTTACAGTGTAAACTCTTTTTACCAAAAAAAAAAATTTCATTACATAATTTACATAATTCTATCTAATTTTGTTTTTAAAAGTGGTGGTAAGGTTTTACATGGCCACAAGTGTATATACATACATACATACATATGTACGAAGTTACTGATATGATTCAACATATTTTCACTTTAATAGTTACAGTATCGGTCATATCTATAGCACGCCATTTCAAAGTGATATTGTGTGGCACTTATGCTTATTTATTTATTTTTAAGAATTTTCAATTAAAATTTAGTTCATTCTCAGACAAACCCCATATATACCCAAGTTTATCAATTTGTAGAAAACTTCAAAAAAGTGCAACAAAATTTCACCTAAATTTCAAACTTTTTTCTCGGAAGTGTTAGAATTTTTTTGAGTACACAGTTTTTTAGCCCCTGCAATTTTAGTCCGATAATGTGCAAATTTCAAGTGGCTACCAATTACCGTTAATTTTTTAGAATTTTTTTTGTCGCATTGTCTTCTATATAATGAATAAACTCAATTTATTTGTATATGGAAGAAAACCGCAACACCTTTGGCGAAAAAAATTCTAAAAAATCAACGGTTACCTTTAGCCACTTGAAACTTGCACATTATCAGACTAAAATTGATTGGGCTATAAACTGTGTATTCAGAAAAATTCTAACACTTCCGAGAAAAAAGTTTGAAATTTATATGAAAATTTGTTGCACTTTTTTGTAGTATTCTACAAATTGTTAAACTTGGGTTTATATGGGTTTTGTTAGAGAAAGAACTATATTTTAATTGAAAATTCTTAAAAATAAATAAATAAACATAAGTGGCACACAATATCACTTTGAAATGGCGTGCTATAGATATGACCGATACTGTATGTAGTGTTGCATATGCACCTCCATACATACAAACATTGTTTGTTTATATCCATAATTTTATGTACGAAAGAATGTTATATTATCGATCAGGAGTACGTAGGTTTGTTTAGTCTGCCGTCACAGTGTTTGGCCGTGTCATGTCTATCCATCCGTTCTTGTCTCAATGCTGTGCTGAATTTTTTAATTCCTTTTATTTTATTTTGTTTTGTGTGAGAAAGTTTTGATTTTTCGGTATGGATGTACATTAGAGTGGTCCAAACAATTTTTTTTCGAAATAGGGTTTGGGCACCTTTAAAATTTTTTCTCTTGCCGACAGAGGGGTTGGTACCAAAATTTACGTTTATAAGTAAAAATTCAGGCGATGCTCATAATGCTCGTATTTTACTCTAGAAGTTTTGTGTAAATATATTAATCAAACAATTTGTTAAGCAAACTAAGAATATTTCAAATTTAAATTATCTAAAAAAATATCACAAGCCTCAATTTTTCTAAAAATCGCCAATGTTTGCGCCAGTTTCACAGCGATCCAGTAACGCATTTCAAGGTCATTGAGCGCCCTATATTGGTTACAGTAGTAAATTTAAAGTTGATATAGATATTATAAATTTATTTTATATTTTATTTTATATTTAAGGGGGTGCTCAGTTTCCAAGGATGAAATTTTTTTCCCCCATAGAAAAATTGGACCACTCTAATGTACATATGTATGTACCTACATATGTATGTTTGATTGTGGGCTCTTTTTTGATTCAGATTCTTGTGATGAAATGCATTCAAATGAAGAGCCTCTTTCTCACCTCTTCCCTTTTATATGCTTAAAAATATATGTATATGTACACATCTATGTATGTACATATATGTATACAAAGTTATATACCATACACAAACATATGTATATAGATGCATGAATTGACTCCCGCAATGTTAAATGTAGATGTATAAACATATGTACATATGTATGTTGCGAGTATGTAATTTGTATTTTATTTTTAATCTTTTTATTTTATCTTCTTTGTTGGACACTTTTATTTGTCATTGTCTGGACCTCAATTTGATTTAATTTTCGTTTATTTTCACCCAATGTAAATAGTAGACTAAATGGTATCAACGACACGGATGAAAGTTACGAGGGCTGTTTGATAAATCAATGCCCATTTAAATCAAAGATATTTTGTGCGAAAAATAGTGGTTTCGAATGTTTTCACAACGCTAGTCTTTTCATCTTCCATTTGGCCTATATTAAATTGAACGCATGGGCTCTTAGCAAGCAGTGCCCATTAAGAGTCCTACCAGTATAGTCTTCTTGTTGGTAACAAAAAATCAGTAAGTTTTCTATCATGCAGCCCTGTCGCTTTCCGCTTCCTGGAGGCCAATTCTGGTTCTATGAAACTGTGAAGTGAAAATTAAAAATTCTAATTTTGGCCCAATTGGGGCCCAATTAGGAAGAAGGTCGAAATAACACGCGATTGGCCCAATCTACCGAAGATTTCCCCAACAAAGTGCTCAAAATTTGCTCAAGGAGAACATGCATACGCAATGAAAACATTTTTATCGAGCAAATCACACATACACACATCAAAATTCCCTATGAAAAAAATATTTAAAAAATTTTTTTTCCTCACATTTTTTTGAGCTTTAGGCCGTTTTTAACGAAAAACTTTTTGTGGAAAAGCAACAATAATTTGAAAAAATGGTAGAAGTGATAGCTATTTCGGAAATCACCACATTTCCTCATCAGACGTCTTTCAGTAGGATTCGAACTGACGATCCAACTGACTCCGCCAGTTGCCTACGCACTGTGCTAAGTTCGCCATGTAAATTATCGTATCCTAGAATGGTAGCTCTGAGTATTGCGCAATATTTAAGAATAGTATTTCGGGGTGCACTCTATAATAATTTGAGTTATGATTTTTTTTTTTTTAACCGAAGTTAAGCAAAATGAAATTTAAAAATTTTTTTAATTTTGTTTAGAACTTTTTTGAGTATGCAATTTAGTAGCCCATTAAATTTTAGTATAATAAAGTGCAAGTTTTAAGGTACTGCAAAATTGCGTTGATTTTTAATATTGTTTATGCTGACGGCTTCTTGCACTTTTTCCCTGTGGCGGAAAATGCGTAAAATCGTTTTGAAAGAAAATTAAAAAGAAAATAACGTCAGTTTTGCAATCGCTTAAAGCGTGCACCTTATTTTACTAAAATAGGCAAAAACTCCTGTGAAGAGGACTAACGCGAGCATATTTTTCTCACGCCCAAATATTAAATGTAAATTTACAAGCCTATATTTGATGAATTCTGATTGTCTGCCGATTACTAAATTTGTTGTAAGAGTAAATAATTTCGAGGTTAAGTGTTCTTAATATACTAGCATCGTAAAATGCTTTTATGATCACCGCTGCTGGCAAAATAATATCTACATAAAAAAAAGTAGTGAATGTGACCGCAAAGAATTTTATCTGTGGTCTGCAACATCAGCAAAAGCTACTTGCATATTTATGTATGTACTTAGTAACCCCACAGCAAAGCTGTCATTAGTGTATTTTCGCCGTTAAGTAACCCAAAAAAGGAAGCAGATTAAGGTGATAAAAATCGATCAGCTGCCTTTTTAAAGGACTGCAGCTCTTCCTGTTCGCAAATTTTCATTGCAATATTTTGTAAGAGCGCGTCACCAATGAGTTTCGCTTTAGACACAAATTCAGTTTCTTCCTTTTCATTATGACTGCCTTAAGTCACTTTTATGCTTTTTGAATTTTATCAATTTAATTCAATAATATTGCATATTTTTGTTTTTGTTGCATGCGCCGTTCAAGGGTTTGTACCTAAGAAATAAGTTGGATGTTGAAGACAACTTTCAACATGCGTACTTGCAACACACTACACTACATAGTAGCTGTTGGTTTTTTTCCTGCAGGAAGCATGACAGATGTTATATGATAATGCCACGCACAAAAAAAAAAAACAAGAAACAAAAAAAAACACAAAAAAATATCAAGGTGTACATAAAGTCCATTCATATGCACGCGTATATTAAAGCTGTAGGCAATTACACTACCTTGATCGTTAAGCATATGCAAAAGGATCAATTCGGCCACACTACTTACGGTGATATCCTCTGAAGGTTATACATACATACATATGTATGTAGCAGTGGCATTTTGCGCTTGAACCTTTTGTTCTTTCCTTTCTTCGTGATCGTTCTTTCAATGCTTATTTATATAAAAATTAAACATGTTTATATATTTCTGAATACCGTCTGCTATTGATATGCATCTGACTACCCTTTGCGGTTTTTGATCGCGTCTCCTATGTTTCTCCTTTGTGCCAGGTATTATCGGCTTTGTTAAAGGATAATCGGCATATAAATGCCTCAAATTGTGCAGAAATTAACAGGAAATAAAACTGTTTGACATTTTCTTTTGTGTACGCAAATGAGCTTACTTAAATATGCTAATATTGAATTGTTTTCACTGTTTAGCTGATGTCTAATAATAATCTTATAAAAGGTAAAAATTTTATGCTTTATCCTTGATTCAACCACTTCGAATTTTAGTTTATGATGTTGCA